TAGGGGTTCGTTTGTCATTTTTTACGTAAACAGTATCGTTATACAGTGGGTTTTTTTAGGAGCTAATTACTAAAGTTTCTAATGGAGTTTAGTGGTATTCCTCTATCTGATATCTGATATCCGTTTGTTAAGTATTTATTTATTTTTAATAATATTTTTTCATTTTTTTAAATTTACTTTGTTACATTAGAACATTATGAACCAGAGTTTCAGGTCCATCATAATCAATACCAATGATATTTTTTAAGGACCCAAATTTAATTCAAGTCCATCTTTATCAATACCTATGACATTTGTAATTTTTGTTATGATGAACATTTTAATTATCAATGTTATTTTATTATAATTTAAAAAAATTTTAAAAAAATTAATCAATAAAACCAAATATCCTATCGGATATCCGTAAATATTCGGTTTAAACCAGATATCAAGAGTTTTCAGATCCAAATTTAGAAAGTAAATTGATTATCCGGCGAAAACAAATGTGGATTCAGATACCTTGAAAAGTCTGGAAATTTGAAACTTCTTGGTTAAACTAAATATATAGTCCGCAAACAACAAGTGAGATACACACATATATTGACAAGAAAACATTTCAACATATTTAAAGAACTAAAGTAAAACCTCAAATCAATTCATTCATTACCAACTGATTTTTAATTAAATAATCTATAAACCTTAACAAATTTGAAAACAACAAAACGTATTTAAGATGATGTATATGGTTTTTTTTTTTTAACACTAAGTTGAAATTTTATTCGATATGGCCAAGTTCCAGCTCTGAAAAAACAGAGACCTTACAAACCAAGGAAGGGGTCATACCCTTAACAAGATCATCAAAAATACAGAAGGTGGTCATACATTCGGTTTTTCATTCTGCAAATCCTCTCTCAGCCAGGCCGGTTCACCAGCTGCTACATATGACTGAATTCGATCCTCACGAATAACACTTCGTGCAATCTTGGTGGCAGGGAGATTTGTCTTTGACCCTTCCACAATCCATTTCCACTCCATAGTTCCATGTAACGCTTGAATTAGTTCCGCCGTCTGAGCTCTAAACGCTGGCCAAGCCTGAGGTTTTCCAATTGCACCAACTACATCTGAGGCATCCGTTCCAAACACCACCTTCCCTAGGCGATGGCTATACATACTCTCAATTGCCCATAAATAACCTCTGTTCTTTGCCTCATTAAGGCTTGGAATTCCACCAAAAGCTCTCCGGCTATGCACCAGCACGTCCCCCAACTCATTCCTTACTATCCACGATGCCCCACATAATCGCTTCCTTTTGCACCACGCAATACCAATATTACATTTTAGGAAACCCGATTCTGGAGGACTCCACTTAGCGCTACTATAGCCCGTGTTTCGAGAAGCTTCTAGTTCAATGTGAAGCTCCTCTTGCAACTTAAACCAATGTGATGCATCCTCCCATATCTTTTCAGCTGTTTGAATAGACGTGAAGACTTTGCCTTCAAAATGAAAGGCATTTCTGTTCTTCCATATTTGCCATAGAATCCACGGGAAGCTCCTACTAATCTCTGCAGGGATCGCCTTAACTCCAAGACAGTCAAAGAGGTAGGCAAAGTTGACGTAGATGGAGCTCTCATGAAACCCATCATGAGGAAATGGAAAATTGGTTTAAGCCCACACTTGTCGCGCCATTGTGCAATCGAAGAGGACATGATTGATCGATTCACCATCCCTACCACATATTTGACATACTCCATCTGCGTGTGAACCCCTTGATCTCAATCCATCAGAAACAGCTAAGGCATCACTTAACGCTTTCCACATAAAAACTTCGATTTTTGGAGTCGTCTTTACATTCCACACTTTTCCTTTCAACGGGTTTAAGGATGGTTTTGCCAGTGCCTCATTCCTCACTTCAGACTGACTTAGTTGACGGCCCAACCAGTATCCTGATCTTACTGAGTATTCGCCACACTTATTGTGCACCCATTCATATCCATCCCTCATCCCAAGTGCCGGCCTCTGTTTTAGAATAATCTGCACATCACCCGGAACAAAGATCTCTTCGAGTTTACCCCGGTCCCAAGTACGAGATTGTGGGTCAATCAGGTCCCTCACTTTGAGTTTGAGGTCCCAAAATAGAGCCCTTCTATACGGAGCCCGAGGCTGCCCATCAGAAATCCACTTATCAATCCAAACACTTATCGAGTCACCTGAGCCAACCGATTTCTTGAGTCCTTTCTCCAGAAGTTCTCGACCGTGTAGTATACTTCTCCAAGCGAAGGATGGACGACTGCCCACAGGGTCTTCCATAAATTCTCCATTCCTGTAGTATCGGCTCTTTATAACCCTTGAACATAGACTTTCTGGCATTGCAAGGAGCCTCCACGCTTGTTTGGCAAGCAAAGCTTGGTTGAACATTTCGATGTCCTTAAAACCTAGTCCACCAAGTTCCTTTTCAAGACACATCTTCTCCCAAGACACCCAATGGATTTTCTTTTTGTCTTCTTGAGCATTCCACCAAAAATTAGACATAGCACTAGTGAGGTTTTGGCAAGTGGTTTTAGGGAGTTTAAAAACCAACATAGCATATACCGGCATCGACATGGCAACTGGTTTTAACAGAATCTCCTTCCCTCCTTGAGATAAAAACCTTCCATACCACCCATGAAAGCGAGATTTCATCTTCTCTTGGATATAGTTCAGCATCTCTACTTTAGAACCACTAAAGCACTCAGGCAAACCAAGATATTGCCCTGCACCTCCCTCATTCTGAATTCCAAGTTTGTCTCTTATGTCTTTCTTTACGTCATCAGCTATAGCACAGCCAAAGGTGATTGACGACTTGTTGAAGTTTATCACTTGTCCTGATACTCTTTCATACTCCTTGAGAATGTCATATATATAGACTCACATTGCTCTCTATCTGCCTTGCGCATGATCAGGCAATCATCTGCAAAGAGCAAATGATGCACTGCTGACCCATCCTCAGAGAACTGAATACCGGACAACGTCCCATTGAGCTCAGCTGTCTTCATAAGGTGAGAAAAGCCCTCGGTACATAGATCAAAGAGAAAGGGTGATAGAGGGTCACCCTGGCGCAATCCCCTACTCGGTTTGATCATCCCATGAACCTGCCCATTAATCAAAACTGTATATGTAACTGAGCGTACACAAAACATAACCCAAGAGATAAACTTTCGGTGGAAACCCATTGCAGATAGCAGAGCCTCCAAGTAATCCCACTCAATGCGGTCATACGCTTTGGACATGTCTGTTTTAATAGCCATGTCTTCGGCAGAGATTCTGGGATGAGTTCGGAGAGCATGAACCATCTCATGGGCCACAATGATATTGTCAGAGATCAACCTCTCAGAGACAAATGCAGATTGTGTGGGAGACACAACACTTGGTAACCATGGTTGCAGCCGCTTAACTAATATTTTTGACACAATCTTGTACAGCACCGTGCACAAGCTTATTGGCCGCAGGTCTACCATCTTTGTCGGTTTAGTCACTTTAAGAATGAGGCATATTTGAGTGTAGCTCCACTCCATGGGAAATTCCCCAGTTTCGAAAAAACTCTGCACCTCCTTTGTAATTTGCGGTCCCAAAATTCCCCAATAATGTTGGAAGAAAAGACCATTCATTCCATCGATTCCTGGTGCACTAGAAGGATTAATCGCAAAACCAGCTTCCTTTACCTCCAATTTCGAAACAGCTTTAATCAAGGCCACATTCATTTGGCTAGATACAGTCGCAGTAAATCCACTGAAGAAATTCCCAATATTCCCCACTCGTGACGACGTAAAAAGTTCCTGAAAATATTGGCTAGCCACTGCCCCCATCGAACAACCAGATGTGGCTTTCCTGCCTTGGTCATCAAGTAAATATTCCAGTTGATTGCGAGCTCGTTGTGATTTAACCGAAGCATGGAAGAACTTAGTGTTCTTATCTCCCATTTGAACCCATTTGTCTCTGCTCTTCTGTTGCCAGAAACTCTCCTCTTCGTGGTAAGCTTTAGCAATCTCCAATTTAAGTGTTCTGCGATAATCCATTCGAGGGAAGAAGGACGATTCCTCCACTTCCAAATCATGTCGCAACTTCATAATCTTATCCATGGAGTTACTCTTCTGCTCCCTTTTCCATCTACTCACCCACTTCCGACAAGCTCCAAGACGATCCATCAAACTTAGGGGAGTCACTTGATGAGTACCCATCCACGCCTTACGGATAGCTTCATGCACCATTGGTTTCCCAATGAACCGTCTGTCAAACCTGAAAGAGCCTAGAGCCTCTAGCCTCGGACTGTCTGTTCATCAGGTTCACCAGGACCGGTCTATGATTAGAGCCTAACTTTTCCATGAAAACCTGGTTCGACTGAGGGAAGTGCACTCTCCAAGCCTTGTTGCCAAAACACCTGTCCAATTTACTCTGGATCCAAAGGTTTTGCCTGACACCAGCCCAAGTAAAGCCATCACCAGAACCCACAAGTTCAGTCATCTCACACGCCTGGAGCATCTCTACAAACGGCTTAAAGGATCCATCACTTCTCTTTGGCCCGCCAATCTTTTCACTATTATTCAAGATCTCATTGAAATCACCAACCATACACCAGGTTTCTTTCCGATGCACCCCAATCCGCATCAACCTTTCCCACACATGCGGACGACCCTTCACCTCTGGATCTCCATAAACAAAGGAAACAAAAAACTTGAATGAACCAAACTGTACATAACAATCGATCAGATGTTTGTCCGCAAAACACACATCGACCGCCACATTATTCATTAAGAAAAGAGCTAAGCCACCATTCCATCCAATAGGGTCAACCGTTATAACCCTGTCATAAACCAAGCATTCAAATCAACCAAACCATCTCTACATCTCTTCGTCTCCATTAAGAAAAACATCTAAGGGAAATGTTGTTGACGCATCTCCTTGAGACGGGGAATTGTCAAGTCTTGTGCCCCGCCCAAGCCTTGACAATTCCAACTCAAGAGGCTCATTGAGCAGACGGCAGTCCCTCATTCGGGACCACAACGCTTAGCGATTTTTGACCTCACATCCCCACTCACCTCCTTCACGCCTTCAGCTTTCCTCTTCTGCGGAGATACCCCAATGGCCTCAGGGTTTTTTACCTCATTCGATCCACCTTTGGTGATTCTCGGTTTTCTCGTGACAGTCTTTTTATCAGTCGCATTCTTCCTCCGAGGCTGATACCGCCTCACTCTCTGCCCAGAGGAGGACCCCTCCGATGATCCAACCTCAAAACCATTAGAACATGACTTAAAAACAGAGTTCTCAGATCCCATCGGCTCCACCAGTCTTTCCGATGCAGTAACATGGACTCCAGCCACACGTCTCATCGCCAAACCAGCATTAATAGCTGATGACATCATTTTGTCCCCCAAGATACCAGTGTTGCTGTTCGCAGTCTTCTTGCTCGTGGTCTCTTGGTCGTAAACAGGGCCTTTTCCTTTATCCAGAGAGGAAGTGATAACTAGACCAGCTTCCAATCGGAGAACCGAGTTCTGTTCACGCTTGTTATTCGCCAGTTCCATTATCGATCGCTTTACTCTTTCCTCTCTAACCTTCCTGTCACTCCCATCCCCAGCCAGTAAATAGGTCCTCATCTCCTGCAGCACCTCCTCATTAATCTTAGCTCTACCCGAATCAGGGTCTATTCCAACCTGCTCCTCGGTTAACACCCCAAACAGCGGGTCCATTTCTTTTAAAACCAATTCCCTCTTCTGTTTGCCTGCTAGGATATTTGCCCTTCGGAGCTCTGCTTTTCCTTTTCTCATGTTTACCAGAATTGGGCATTTATCTTTTTCATGTGTTAACCGTTGACAATGATAGCATCTCTTCTGAATTCGCTCAAAGTCATACCATATGGTGGTAGTTTCCCCAGTAGGTAGGACCACCGCCTTCGATCTACGAACCGGTCGTGAGACATCAAAGTTTACCTTCACCCGCACGTAATCTCTGCTATGTGGTTTCTCCGAATCAAAGGCAATCTCCTTTACCTCCCCAATGATATCAGCCAGATCATAGATAGAAGCTTCCGTATAGTAGTTCACAGGAATGTTTCTGATCTGAATCCACACAGGTATAAACTTCAGGTAATTCTCCGGGGGCTTTTCCACCCAACGATCAATCACAACAGACCATTCATTAAAGGTCCAGACATGCTTCCGTAGAACCTCTTCGAGATCGTGTTCATATTTGAAAATGAATTGGAATCTGTCAGAAGACAGAGCCACACCTCGCACCCTATCATACACTTGCCACTTCCTTGGAATATCTAGAATAAGATCAGCCATATTTTGACACGCTGGGTTCAGAGTTCGTCCCATAATACTCATGACATTCTTCTCACTCGAACAGTATTTCGGGTGGTTTGGCAGGATGAAAGGAACGTCTTCCTCCTCCTCTAGAGTTAAAGCCAGCAACGCGTCATCAATGTTCGCCATTGAACCACTTCCTGCCTTGTTTTCCAACTTTTTTGAAACTAGGGTTCTTCAAAGCTATGCGGCGCCACTGAAGAAACTAGCCAGACCTAGCAAAAAACCTCTCACAAACAGAAAGATTTCCAAAAGATTTACCACAATATTGTTATAATTCAAAAAATCTCGGACAATAAGGGGAAAAAACCCAGCCAAAAGCTCTACTTTCCTAAAACCCAAAGACTCTGAGCGTATTAGAGAGTCCTAAGCGAAAGAGAGAGTCAGTCGATGTGTTTTTTAATATTAATGCGGTGAATATCAAATGAAAAACAAAAATGAGTAGTATTATGCGTGGTCAACTTATGTAACCTTGTATATATGTGGAATTGTGTGTTTAAATTAAAATGATGATTTTATTTAGATAAGATTTTGGAAACAACGCCTTGTTTTTTCCGAATAAGTCAATTATTTGCTTCACCCACTATCTGAAAAGGAGTCCGACTTAAGAAACTCCATAAATAAAGGCTAACACAACTGCCAATTATGTGTTAAAATATCAGTATTCAAACAGTATACTTATTTATATCAACCAATTAAGACCAACGTGACCAACAAGAAGTTGGACTACAAAACTCATGCATACTTTTTGTATTTTTTAGTAGCCAGAACTTTACATTGCAAGAAGCTAATTAAGAAGTCAAACTCCACGCATGTGATGAACCAAGAACTTGATGCGCAATAAATTTCTTTTACCAAAAAATAAATAAATAAATTTGAAGAATCATTGTTCATTTTGCCAGCAACATACAACGGATACTGCGGGATTTTGTTAACGATGGGTACTTAGAAGTGAAACTTTTAAAAATCGATTGGATAAGAATCAAATGTGGACGTTTTTACTTTTGTGACTTAACCTCACAGGACACATATATTTTCAATAATCTATCTATTCTAGGATACTGGCCAGCATGCATGTGCAGGCTTGAACGCTTTTTTAAAATTTTAATTTTATTGAATATATTGTTAAGTTTATTGGGTTTAATTTTATAATATTGATAGTTTACAGTGTGTGGGTACACTGTTACTAATTTTGGGCCGAATGGTATGTTATTAGTATAAGAATTGGATTGTATCTTAAAATTGGCTCATATTTGCAGTTATAAATTCTATGTAATTATAATTAGGTATGTATAATGAAGAAAGTATATATAAAGAATACATATAATTATGAATATATACATTAATTTTATGTTTTTAAGTTATTCATCGAAATGTGACATTTATGACCATATTTTATAGATTATATGTGTAGATGTATTCATTTATTTCGAAATCAGTCAAATGTTATTTAATATGTTTTAATTATAAACGACTTTTTGGAAATATGAAACACAGGGAAGAAAAATGAGGAATCACTCTCTAAGAATTTTATATATACACACCAGAAGAGAATTTTGATCAACTAACCAAGCAAACAATTACTCACTTAAACACAACCCATACTATAATTATTATTCTGATGTGGTCCTCTCACAGACGTACAAAAAATATGTTTACATGAAAGAAAAATACATGTTTTCCTACATAATATTTCTTGTGCATTTGTGAAGAATCACATCAGAAGAAGTAGTTTTATTTATTGTGTCGCCACAGAGTTATTGTAAGTATATTACTTGTGAATGCTCACTTTTGACAGGAAGTATACCGTTAGTACTTTATACTAAATTCTTGATAGAGCATTGACTGTGTACTTCTTGTAGAGTGAGATACAAGTAATTTTGCTCAGTAGGTAAACAGAAATGTATAACATTTTCCATAAGTTTTTGCTATTGTAGATTTTTTATTATTCACTGGAAATTTTAGAAAGAACTCTAGTTATGTAGAAAATTATTATTTACTTGGAATGAGAACCAATATTGTGTAAGAAATACAAACCTTTTTATAGAGAGTGGAAATGTTAATCTAGAACGATTTTCATAATAGGATAGTTAGATTTATTATTTTTCATTCGCAATTATCTAAAATAACAAAAAATCGGATTTATCTATATTATGTATTTCAGTTGAAATTGAAATTTTAAAAATTGTTAAATTTTATGAGAGATTTCCAAAAATTGAGATATAATTTATCATATAAACAATTATGTTACGATTAATCCGCATCGACAATACTTTAAACTTACAATGGTAACAGTTTATTCACTAAATTATAAATTATAAGTTACGCTATATTTTATAATTCTTTAATCGGTTGACTCTTGTATTAATTATGTAATATGTAACTGTTGCAAATGTAGTATTTAGTAGATGATTTACCTTGGTATTTTATATATTCAACATGAAAAGTACTGTAGAAAATGAAGACAATTAAAAAACAACAAAACGAAAGTAATTAATTGAAATAAAGATTCAGCATGCAGTTTTAAAACTAAAATTAAGAAAGACATTTAAATCTAATTGACCGGGAATAAGCCCATTGCATTGCAAGCTTCCCTGAAGGTGTCGTATACAACACCATTAAATGTTCGGATATCTTCATAACTGCAAAGACTTATAATGATATTCAACAGACAACCCAAATAAAAAATCTCTCCATCATAAATTGAATACTGTTGAAGAATAATTAGATTTCCCGAACCCTTCACCCGTGGCCTCCACTCATACAATGTGGCATTCCACACAAATTGAAATTGAATACTGTTGAAGAATAGTTAGATTTCCCGAACACTTCACCCGTGGCCTCCACACATGCAATGTGGCATTCCAGACAAATTCAGTGTAGAGCAGGAATCTGGCAGTTGCGTATATCTTTGTTACACTCCATCCAAACAATAAATTTTGTATTTTTCATTAGTTGTCGACCTTGTTTCGCTTGGAAGAATTTGTTCTTGGTAGATGAAATAGAATAATTTCTGAAAACAATCATAAAGAACTTGTTAAAAAGGAAACAAATAATGTATTATAATAAATTATAAAGGGTAATTTTCTATAATTCTGTCAAAAAGGATTCTTAATAGATTAAAGTTGGACGCATAAGGCTTACCTATCCTGTTCATAGCAGTAGAAATAGAGAATATTGAGAATTTTTATTCAGTGTAACAAATGAAGTTGCAGTTCACAAAAGTATGATGTGAATATATAGATGGATTAAATAGAGCATAAAATGAATATACGAATACGTTAAAGATTGCAATATGCATATGGTTTTAGAAAGTAATATCAATATATAAATATCCTTCATATTATATTTAATAAAAATCTTGAATATATGGTTAGATAATTCAATTTATACATAATTGCTTCATAACAATATTAGTTCGAAATTATCGGAGCACAATATTATGTTATCATATATTGCGGTTTAAATACAACTGTAAAGAGAAAAATCCAAACATTTCAATATTTTTGTATCAGCTAAGTTGTGTGAATTGGACGCAGAAGACTTGTGTAATATTATGTCCATATATCAAAAGCGAAAGTTAAAAAGTCAAACTGGTTGGTTGAAACAGTATTCCCAAGAAAACATAGAAATTTGGTGACATTGAATATTTTTTTAACTACCTTATCCTATATAAAATAAGAGTTGCTTCGATTAAAAACATACTTCTTAAATTTTCTCTGCAACCCTAAACGCCTGATAAGAGATTAGACAAAAATGGAGAATCACCAAGAAAAACGTTATGATGAAAACGAATTATTGAGAATTAATCCACCACCATTGAACATGAGATTTGGTGTGGAAGAACAACCATCACCTCCTCCAATTTCTGAATCAAAGATGGGGGAAACAAATATGTGGGAAGAGATGAATGATTTTCTGAGCAAATCAACTGCGAAGGCCATCGAGGTTCCTTCTGAGGTAATTTAATCTTTAAATTATTCGGTTTTATTAAGGATTTCTGTATTATTGGATGTTTATACCAATATGTAATATCTGCAGTGTGATGGAGAAATATCGACTGATGATCCAAAGGAATATTGCAAGGAAAGAAAACACGATCTCTATCTAGATCTGGAGATAGGTTTGAAATGTATAGAATGCGGCTTCGCTAAGACAGAGATCCGCTACCTAGATACATCGGAGTGGGTAAGCTGTTAATATTCCATTAATACATTGATTTATTTAACTAATATGTTTGAAGTTAACAACATTATATGTTTTTGAATCTTATAGGCACATAAGAATAAACGTGGAAGGAGAAACTTTGGAGTCTAGCTAAAATTATCTCTGTTTATTGGAATTATCTAAGCATGTTTGCTACAATAAGTTGTATTATCTTGATTCAAATAAAAATTATTTATTTTAAAACTTTTCTCATATGTGTGTATTGATTCGTAAGATTATAAGCTCATCTGCTACACTGATTATAATCCACAAAAATTAAAACATCGATAATTTATATAATATTTCACACTCAACTCTAAATGTTATGAGAAAAGCTTAACGTCAGTTGTCAAAACTGAAATGAAAACGTCAGTCGGAATTAATTTCAATTTACTCTTACACGTAAAATTGTTAATACATCAATAGTGAGCATTGGATGAAATTGCCTATAAGAAGCGTTATATTTGCATCGTTTGGCATAATTATAAATAAGGAAATTCATAAAGGTTCGCAATAAATGTAAATGTCGAAGTCTACTTACATAAATTGTTATGGTATTAAAATTGGCATAATATAAAAAATGGCTGTTACTATATTGTAGTAGTAGAATTTGGCAATGTCTTATTGTTATGGAAATGTGCAATATTCGATGGAAGAAAATGTCTATAAAAGAAGTAACCTTTCTAAAATCAAATGGATTCTATATATAGATGGTATATGTTATATCCAAAACTATACATATATATATGTAAAATATATAAACAATAAATACAATAATATTAAAGGACATAAGCAAATTGGTAATTATATATTACCATAAATAAGTAATAAATATTTCATTACAAATATATAAAAGTAGGTTCAAATCCATCCAAGTTTTATGGGAAAATATTACATAATGAGAACGTTTAACAGTTACGGGA